CCCGCGGGGCCCTTCTCCTCCGTCCTTCCCGCCGCCCGCGGGCTGGAGACTCTGGAGGGGCGGCCGCGAGGCAGGGACGCCGGCGGCCGGGCCGGCTCCTGGGCCTCCCGCCCGGGCGCTGGCGGTCACGCCGAGCCTATTTTTAGGCCTTCGGGGCCGGGTTTCGGGAGGCCGGAGCCGAGCAGCGGGAGGGCGCCGGCCCACTTGCTGGCTGTCCGGGCCGCCGGGCGGGTCCGCCCCGGCGCGGAGGTCACTGGTCCTCCGTGTGGAGGCTGATGGCGGGGGATGTTACTCAGAGCAGTGAACTGCGGAGAGACTGCAGGTGCGACGCGTCTGTGGGAAGGGGGAGCTCCCGCCGCCGTCTTTGGCCTTTCCTGTCCCTTGGCGATGTTCGCGAGGGCTGCTGCTAGAGCCCACGCTCCTCCGCGTTTGTCCTGCCCCGTGCTCCATCCTGGAAACCATCCACACCTTGTTTCCCGAAGCCCTTGAGTCCTGCTTCCCTTTATTAAACTTTTCTTCCGGATCCCCTGGAATCTGCACCGCTTTTGAGTGAAAACATCTCTCGTTGTGCCCCACGTTCAGTGCCTTTGGGGCAGGCTGAAATGTTGCCTTATTATGATGGATGGGTTGGACGAACAAGTACAGAGGACGATGGGCATGACAAGGGACAGGTGTCGCCGGCGGGACGCTGGGACCCTCCAGGGGTGGGGAACACCAGTCTTTCAAGAACTGGATAGTGGGCTTGCCTGGAAGAGAGCCCAACACTGAAGATGGCCCTCAGGTCAGAGGCTGGGGATGCACTTTCCTCTCAGCCCTCAGTGGAATTTCCACTGCCTCCTGCCTCCACGTTGGAAAATGGGCAAAGGGAGAATGAGGAAACCTAAGACAGAGTGGCTTTGTGACAAAATGTCCCAGCTCCCTGTTTGGGCAACAGTGACCCCAAATGACCCCTGCCAGAGCTTGATCTTAAGTATCCTGTACACTTGGGTGCCCACCAACTTGCTGTCGTTAAAATCCCCTCAGAAACAGTATGCCCCAGAATTACCCCAGGGAAGGACTGGGGAAATCCTAAGGCGGGATGGTGGTCTTGGCGGGGTGGGGTTTGTTGAGCAGGAACAATAGTCCTTCTGTTTGCCTTTGGTCCCCGCAATTAGGTGATTATTGGAGACAGTTGTGTGTGTGAGCGAGCGAATGAGAATGAATGAGTGCAGGGTAGGGGGTACGTACTGCTGGCTTCTCCAAGGAAAACAAGGAACCTTTATGAGCTTGTGGTGATTCTTAAGTCCATTTAACAGCCATTGGCCACTGTTTAGTCAGAAGCATTAAGGAGGCAAGGCCTCTTTGAGGAGCTGACATTTGAGCAGACACTCAAAGTGACTCTTGAGGGGTGGTGGGAGGCCTTTGCTCCAGGTTGAGAAAACTATAAAAAGCCCAGGGCCTGGCAGAAATGTAAGCACCAGAATGAAGAATATGGCCTCTGCTTTCAGACACTCTCAGCTCTCAACTCTCAATTGGAGTTGTTAGTTGGATTTATGCTTGGCTGAAAATACTGTCTGTGGTACCTCCCAGGAGAAACAGAAATTGCACTTCTGAATAGCTTCATCACCACCTGTTAATTGCCTCTGAGTGTTAAGCTAGTCTGAGAATTTAGCTTGTTTGGATTCTAAATTAGGACAGATTGAGAAAGGAACTGATTTTTGCCAAATTATTGGTTGCAATGGGTCCTGGGGTGGCTTTTTCAAGGTAGAAGGTTGTAATGAGTGTTGTTTTTTCCCTCTTTGTATTAAGATCAGGCCTTTGTTACACTGACCACAAATGATTCCTACACCAAAGGAGCCCTGGTGCTGGCCTTGTCTCTGAAACAGCACAGGACCACCAGGAGGCTGGCGGTGCTCGCCACTCCGCAGGTCTCGGACTCCATGAGGTGAGCACTGCGCTGCCTGTCTGTGGTGGCGCTTGACATCCCTCTCCCATTGCTGGCATCACTGGGCACTGAGGCCATACCCTTTACAGGGCTTGAGCACCTGGGGGAGAAAGATTCGAGTTGCTGAGTGAAGGATTTCAGGGTATGAAACCTCTGTCTAGTTTACGGGAGATATTCTAGCGAAGCTCCCTTCTGTGACGTGAGGAGTAGATTGACTCCCCCTTAACAAGTAAGTCCTCAGGGTGTGGGTTTCCATACAGGCATTCCCTTCATGTAGTCACACTTCACATGCACTCCTTTACCAAAATGCAGCAGGGGCTGTTTGGTTTCCTGTTTCAAACCAGGGAAACCTCAGGTGACTTTCAAAGAAAATAGCAGTTTTCTCCACTGTCATTGACATTTGTATCCTAAAGATCTTTATTTACAGATTAATAAATTGGTATATTTGCCAAAGGACTTTCTGAATTTGGGGTTGTGCTAGGAGAGCAGCCCGAAGGGCACAGCTGCTTGTTGTTTGGGTTATTCACTTTGATTTGTTGGAATTAAATTTTGAAGTATCTGAGTGAACTACCTACTTCCTAATACTAACTTTAAAAATATCTGGGCACGCTAGCTGCTCTGTATTGTGTTTATTTTGGCATTCTTTTATCCCTCTTAGAAATTGAAAACATCTTTTTGTGACTTTTTTCAAAATATGTGAGCACATGCTAAGGACCTCTGAAAAGGAGAACATACATCTATACATATATATCTACATGCATACATGTACACAAGCAACCTTGTTTCTAAAGCAGTGGTTCTCAACCTCTGGCCCTTTAAATACAGTTCCTCATGTTGTGACCCAACCTAAAATTATTTTCGTTGCTACTTCATAACTGTAATGTTGCTACTGTTATGAATCGTAATGTAAATATCTGATATGCAGGATGGTCTTAGGCGACCCCTGTGAAAGGGTCGTTCGACCGCCAAAGGGGTCGTGACCAACAGGTTGAGAACCGCTGTTCTAAAGGGTACTTTAGGAAAATGCAAGAAAGTTTATCTCCTAGCCCTGGCCTGGTGACTTGGTTGGTTGGAGCGTTGTCCCATACACCAAAAGGTTGCGGGTTCCAATCCTAGTCAGGGCACATACCTAGTTTGTGGGTTTGATCCCCAGTCTGGGTGTGTACGGGAGGCAACCAATTGATTTTTCTCTGTCACATTGATGTTTCTCTATCTCCCCCTCTCTCTCTCAAAATCAATTAACAACAACAACAAATAAATTATCTCCTAATGTGTATATCCTAATTTGTAGTTTATTTATGGGGATATATATAAGAGGATATATATAAGAGGATAGTCCACCCCCACACCTTTACTGTGGTAAATGGTACCATTGACCATTTCTTTTCAATAAGATCAAGTTTATTGTGCGAACTAGAACATATTCTTGGACAGCTCTGGAGACAGATAATACAGCACCAGTTTTGTTGTGCATGTCTGATATTAAAAACTCTCAGTTATGATCTGTATCATGTTTTAACTTAGGTTGAGTTTAGTGTCTTACTAAGTATACTCCCCTCACCACTTTCAGATTGCTTCCTAAAATAAATCTTTAATTGGGGACATGGAGAAGTGTTGTACTTCACAAACGGAAGTGAGTCTCTCTTTATGCTAGGAGTGCTAAGCACATCATAAATGCTGGTTACATTCTATTCTTAAAAATAGCTTTTTTTGCCCTAACCGGTTTGGCTCAGTGTATAGAGCATCAGCCTGCAGACTCATGGGTCCCAGGTTCGATTCCGGTCAAGGGCATGTACATCCCCAGTAGGGAGTGTGCAGGAGGCAGCTGATCGATGTTTCTCTCATCGATGTTTCTAACTCTCTATTCCTCTCTGTAAAAAATCAATAAAATATATTTTTTTAAAAAATAGCTTCTTTTGAGACAAGTTTAGGCCATTCTCTGTTAACTTCTTTAGCAAAAGTGGTTAGTTACAGGCTTCATTGCAGACATATGTACTTCACTCAGCATCATTTGTAAAAATATGTGATAATCGGAAAGAATCAGTTCTAATAAAATAGTGTAAATACATAGGCTGTTGCAAAGATGCATTCTTACCACGTGTGAGTCACTTTCACAGCTGTTGCCGCAGTTTGCCTGGTGTTCGGTGGTACAGTAAAAAATAAGAAACTTCTATAAGAGTGTCTTAAGACAAGTGCTTCATACTCACCAATAAGCAGTTATTATTTTAGTGAAGTTAATTGCACATGCAAAATAACATAATTTGTCCTGAAGTAAATGAGGACATATTTAAGAGATTGTGTTATGCCAAAGTAATAACTTGCCCTACTAATGCATGGATAGGCTAATAAAAATGCAGTCTTATGGTAGATGTCACTTGTTCTGAAAAGATGCTAAGCACTGTTTTTGAATTTTATTTTGACAGGAAAGTTTTAGAGACAGTCTTCGATGAAGTCATCATGGTAGATGTTTTGGACAGTGGCGATTCTGCTCATCTGACCTTAATGAAGAGGCCTGAATTGGGTGTTACCTTAACTAAGCTCCACTGCTGGTCACTTACACAGTATTCAAAATGTGTGTTCATGGATGCAGATACTCTGGTGAGTGTGGCTTTGACGGCTAAAAGGATGTATATGGTAGCTGCGATTGGTTAGGCATTAGCAGAACGCTGCCAAGACTTGACAGTAAAGTTCAGATTCAAACAAGTGTCAGGTGATGAAGAAAAGCAGGCCCAGGCTGCCTTACAGCTGTCATCTGAACAGTTAAGACCAGCAACAGATTGCGTCTTTTGTGTTGGATGGCTTAGAGAGAGCTTAAGAACATTTTTGTAATGCTGTCCCTCCCCCTCTTTGAATCAGGTCCTAGCAAATATTGATGATCTTTTTGAGAGAGAAGAATTGTCGGCGGCTCCAGACCCCGGGTGGCCTGACTGCTTCAATTCCGGAGTTTTTGTGTATCAGCCTTCAGTGGAAACATACAGCCAGCTGCTGCGTGTTGCTTCCGAGCAAGGTAGTTTTGATGGTATGTATATCTCTTTATCATGTTATCTCTTTATCTGATCAGCTATTAGTAAATTCTATGAGGTGCTCTTCTCAGGGATATTGTTGTTGTGGTTCCTTGTGCCTGGAACACAGCATTACATGAGGTGTAGCAAGCTTTTTATGTTGTGTACTTTGGAAATACTAGTGTGTTTGTGTGTGCACCTGCATCTTTTTTCTATAGGTATATAAGAGTATCCTAACTAGGACAGGCAGTTTATAGTCTTACCTTTATTGGTTTTCCTGTGTCTACTAGTAAATTAGAGTATGATAAATGAATCATGATTATTCAAGAATTCAACAGACTATGAGGCAAATAGAAAACTTGAACAACTATTTTTAAACCCGAGTAAACTTACATGCAAGACCTAATAGGACCAAGTGTTGTCTCCATGGAAATTGGAGGAGTAAACCTAATAATTTGGCTCTATCCTCTTAGGAGACATTAAAAAATAAGATAGGCTGTTTACATGAACAATCTTTTTCTCCATATTCTCATTCTCTGTAAGGCTTTGCATCAGATAGAATGGCATCTGTAAGGCTGAAGAGTGATCACTGGTGAAGTCAGCATCCATTTTCCATAATGATAAGTGTATCTGTAGGGGTATGTATACATAGAAAGGTTCTGACTACTTGTTATTTAGGGTCTCACATTCTCTGGAGAATTTTGATTAAATGAATTAGTAGGTATGCTTCTATTTCAGGACAGTCTCTGAAATAAAAAGCTGTGTTTTTTTAAACAACAAAACCATACACAATAAGACAAAACTACTAGTTAAATGCAAAAGCAGCTTTTTAAAAATTAATGTTGATGAACCTTTTGAATAAAGGAAAGACCCAGTGTATCCAGGAAGAAAGACATGCCTCAGGAGAAGCCCTCTCAGCAGTGACTCACTGTCAGATACTTGACATTGTGGCAAAAGCCCAGGCCAGGAATGCAGGGCTGGGCCAGAGCCTGAGCTCTGCAGCAGACCAGGCCCTAAGGGGCTTTTTCCTCCTCACTCCCCTCTTAGAGCAGACTTGGGATTTTCATTGAGTAGATCTTTTGAACTAGCAGAAACAGCTTTCCTCATGCACATAAGGTTCTGGCTTCAGTGCAGATAGGATTCATTTCCATTAACTAGTTATAAATCTAAAAGTCAAAATCTCAAAATTAGACTTTCTAAATTAAAAAATTAAATCGAAAAGTTTGTCAGAGTTAAGAGATTGAAAATGAAAACATTTTAAGTTATACATAACACTGAAATTGGTTTTTTGATGTTGCTGTTCACTGAAATTGAATTCTGTTTAGTCATTTGAGGATTTGGAATATGCAGCTATTTGAAATGTTATTGAAAAGACTAAGGAAGTTTAAGTCTTAATCTTATTTCACTATTTGGTTAGTTTATGTTCTGTGCCAGTAGTTCTCAGCCTGGGGTGATTTGGCAATGTCTGGAGACATTTTTAGTTGTTGCAGCTGAGTGGGGAAGATGCCACTGACATTTAGTGAGTGGAGGTTAGGTGTGTTGCTGAATATCCTACAACATACAGGACAGTGCACAACAAAGTGTTTTCTATCTAAAATGTCAGTAATGCGCCGAAACCGGTTTGGCTCAGTGGATAGAGCGTCGGCCTGCGGACTGAAAGGTCCCAGGTTCGATTCCGGTCAAGGGCATGTACCTGGGTTGCGGGCACATCCCCAGTAGGAGATGTGCAGGAGGCAGCTGATCGATGTTTCTCTCTCATCGATGTTTCTAACTCTCTATCCCTCTCTCTTCCTCTCTGTAAAAAAAATCAATAAAATATATTTAAAAAAAAAATTAAGAACTTTAAAAAAAAATAAAATAAAATGTCAGTAATGCTAAGGCTGAGAAACTGCTCTGTCCAGGACATTACATGCTCCAGGACAATGAGTAGAGCTGTCTGGACTGTAATAAATGGCAGCATCTGACATTAATCAGTCTTGAGTAAGAAGTAATATATTGAGTGCTCATTGTAGGCAGGGCCAAGTATAACTTCTTCACTTTACTGACTTATTTTTTTAGCTCCTACTGTTTCCCTTTCATATAAGGAATGAAAGCTGTATTAATATTTGAATTCAAAACATGTATTCCTTATTTCTACTGCTTATACTAAAAGTTGCCTTTGCATAAAGGAAGGTGAGAGTACTTTTAGCAGAAGTCCACTGTTTGTCTTAACCTTCCTGCAAGAGTGTAGCTTTCTTTACCTCCTCTCATCAAATTTAAAGGAAATAATGTAATCCTGTCAGAAATTCAGTGTGAATTCTCAATTCCAGTAAGTGAATCATATTCTAAAGTAGACTCAGTGGCCTGAAATCCACATGATTATAAGAGTGTAAAGAGAATTCCATTCTAATGTAAAAGAGCATGAGATGGTGGTGTTGGGAGAGAAGAGTTTGGATACCAGACAGTAGTGTGCCATGGTGACAGTTTTAGAATGTAAACTAATTACCTGGTGGAGACCAACCTGGATTATCTAAGTTATTCTAAAATCAAGAGGTGCTCACCTGGCCAGTGTGGCTCAGTGGTTGAGTGTTGACCTATGAACCAGGAGGTCACAGTTCAAGTCTCAGGGCACATCCTGGATTGCGGGTTTGATCCCCAGTAGAGAGCATGCAGGAGGCAGCCGATCAATGATACTCTCTCATCATTGATGTTTCTCCCTCTCTCCCCCTCTCCCTTCCTTTCTAAAATCAATAAAAATATATTTTAAAAATAAATAAATAAAATCAAGAGGTGCTAGAAACAAAAATAGATCTAAATTTGGGCCCAGTATCAGGACCCAAGTCTAGACTTCTTTCTATCAGTATAGGGTTGCTTTCCTGGTGGAAAGAACTCTGGATTTGGAATCAGGGCCAAGAGTAAATTGGAAGGGGGGCTTAAAAATGGCAGAGGAGCCCTAACTGGTTTGGCTCAATGGATGGAGCATTAGCCTGTGGACTCAAGGGTCCCAGGTTCGATTCCGGTCAAGGGCATGTACCTTGGTTGCGGGCACATCCCCAGCAGGGAGTGTGCAGGAGGCAGCTGATCGATGTTTCTCTCTCATCGATGTTTCTAACTCTCTATCCTCCCTTCCTCTCTGTAAAATATCAATTATATATATATATATATATATATATATATATATATATATATATATATATGGCAGAGGAGTACGTGGAAGCTACACTGACACTCTCCCAGGACCAAACTGGAAATACAACTAAAATAGAGAAAAACCACCCTGAAAAATTGACTCAAGAATAGTTGGAGAGAACCCTGATAACCAAGAATGGAAAGTGGAGATGCATAGAGACTGGTAGGAAGTGCAGAGGGCGTAAGGGCTGGACATACAGATGGCCAAGAGACATGAAAAATGCTCAAAATCACTGATCATCAGAGAGATGCCGATGAAAATGACAATGAGGTATCACCTTACACCTGTCAGAATGACTACCATCAGTAAATGACAAGTGCTGGTGAGGATGTGGAGAAAAGGGAACTGTAGTACACTGCTGATGGGAATGCATGCTGATGCAGCCATTATGGAACACAGTATGGAGTTTCCTTAAAAAATTAAATATGGCACTGCCATTTTACCCAGTAATCCCACTTCTAGGAATATATCCTTAGAAATCTAAAACACCAATCAGAAAGAATTTATGCATCCCTGTGTTCATAGCAGCACAATTTACAATAGCTAAGATCTGGAAACAGCCCAAGTGCCCATCAGTAGATGAGTGGATAAAAAAGCAGTGGTACATTTTACACCGTGGAATACTATGCAAGCAGTAAAAAAGAAGGGTCTCATACTCGTTGAGACAGCATGGAGAGACCTGGAGAGTATTATGCTCAGCAAAATAAGCAAGTCAGAGAAAGATAAGTATCACATGATCTCACTCATATGTGGAATCTAATGAACAGAATAAACTGATGAACAAAATAGATCCAGAGACATAGAAGCATGGAACAGAGTGTGGAATCTCAGAGGGAAGGTAGGTGGGTGGGAAGAGATCAACCAAAGAACTTGTATGCATATATGCATAACCCAGGGACACAGACAATAGGGTAGTGAAGGCCTTGGGCGGGGGACAGGGGCAGGCTGGAAGAGGTCAATGGGGGGAAAAGGAACATGTGTAATACTTACAACAATAAAGATTTAATTAAACAAATAAAAAAGTACATTGGAAGGAGTTCTAGTATATTTTCTTATACTTTGTGCTGCAAGAAGAATAGCATGAACAGTGTTCCCGGGTTGCCCTATGAAATTCCTTTTTTCTATAGAATTAAAATAAATTATAAAAACCTAAAAAAACAAAAATAAAAGGTTAAAAACTATATTGCAGTATGGTAAAAAAAAAAATAGAGATGCTAGAAGGGTAGGTGAATTTATTAAGAAGCAGGGACCTGTAAACAGTGTTCAACTAGACAGTACTTTCTGCTTTTGCAGCCAGAATCTGAACCCGCTGAGAGGTTTCCTGTGCCTGCAGCATGCTTCCTTCTCAGCTGCAGTGTTTCAGAAGCTGGCCTTTCTGACGGTGTTCCACTCATTAGCTCTTGGTGGTGAAGGGTTGAATTTTCTCTTAATAAAACTGCTTAAATGACAGTTGAAAATTTTTTTTTAAATATATTTTTATTGATTTTTTACAGAGAGGAAGGGAGAGAGAGAGTTAGAAACATCGATGAGAGAGAAACATCGATCAGCTGCCTCCTGCACATCCCCCACTGGGGATGTGCCCGCAACCCAGGTACATGCCCTTGACCAGAATCAAACCTGGGACCTTTCAGTCCGCAGGCCGACGCTCTATCCACTGAGCCAAACCGGCTTCGGCTGACAGTTGAAAATTTAACTATGCAGATGGAACGTATAGTTATTCTCAATATGTTGTTTAAATTAATAGGAGCTCCTAACTGCAAGGTTGTTTTCACTGAATGTGTTGATAAGCTTTACTCATCAGAGAATGTTCACTCGTGTTGTGGGAGCCTGCTCCTATTTGGAGGGGTT